TTGCATATATGTCGAGTTAAGATGTCACGGTTTTACTGTCGTAAAAGAAATCAAAGTAGCAGTGGACGCAACTGTTTATGGAGAGAGGAATGTTGGGTGTTAGAAAATTACAGTATGTTAGCAATGATCTTGCGACCACCTATCTGGTGTAAAAGCTATAATATAGGAAATGCTTGCAAGGAAACAGGGCCGATCGTTTGGTAAAGATGACAGAGAACAGATGGACGAAACAAATATCGTTGGTATCTACAACATGAAAAGTTGCTGAAGCATTGAGACGATCTAAAAACTCAAACGTTTGATATTCAATGGATGCCTAGAGCTCAGAACCGAAGTTGATAGCATGACTATCGATTACACTTTTGGAGCACTCTGCGAATATGAATCAGTGGTGAACTAGTGGCGGTTTTGACAAGTACATCAACGAGTAGTGTCCGTAAAAATAACAACCAGCTTTTTGGTCCTCGAAGAAATGGTCTGCATACGTTGGTGAATGCTTGTCACGTACAATATGTCTCTCAAAATGAGTCTCTTCCGAGAATTAGAAACAGACCTCGGATCACTGAGTACTTTTTGAAGCGCATCTGTCACAGTTTCCAGGTTGATGTGCTTTTTGTTCAGATAAACACCGGTTTTTTTTCTCAGCGAAATAGCTGTATTGTAATGCTGGTCAGCGAACATCGGTACGCAAATGAGTGGTGTTCCAGCAAATGCTGCTTCCGTGAGGCTATTCAAGCCAGCATGTGTTATGAAAGCTTTCGTTTTTGGATGGTCTGCAATAGTTTCTGATTAAATGCGTCACTGATTTTGATCAGCTTCACTCATTTTGAAGGGGTAGAGGTGAGTGGAACTTAGAATCCCCCAAAGAGTTCACTCATTTTGTGAGGCGAAGACACCAAGAACTCGGAATCCTCTTTATTGTCTGCTTTGGAATACGAAGACATAAGGAACTCAGAATGAGTCCACTTTTTCGAAATAGCGACTCGCAAATATAGTTTCAGTGGTAATGCTTGCTTATAGCAACTTCTTACTAACAAGCCTGCCGATAGTTCTTTGTTTCGAAGATTTCTTTAAAAGTAAGCTGAAGGCAGTCTCATAAAACAAATCGGAACTTCTCTCCATATTTCATTATCTGTGAGAGTTGCAAAGTTAGAAAGTAGCCCAGCTGTTAACAAATTGCCAATGGCAACCTGCATTGTCAAGAATACTGATGGCTTCCTTTTTTGAGGGTTGCTTGCAAGCTAACTAAGAACTGTTTATGGCTTCGAGATGTGTTCCAGTTTTAACTCATAGTTAAAACATAAATAGATGGATTGATTTTCTTCGACATGAAATCGAAAGCAACTTTCAGATTTTAAGACGTAAGGCAGTGTATCTCATCACTTGCTAAGTTCACGAGCAAGCTTCATAATTTTGTTATTAAAGTTTGGTGCTACTAGACGCAGCCTTTCTCAAGGTCAATAGATACTACAAGTAACGTAAACGGATCCTTTTTTGCAATTGATGTTAGGCCGGAAGGGAATTAAACTTCACATTTTCACTGTTTCCCAGCCCTTCAAATCGTAACGTGTTATCCATTACGTTACCTGTCTTCGTAATCCATTTAACATTCTCGCTTACTTATCACTAACACGCATACCAGTATCATTTTACTGTTTGTAATGCTACTATCTCAAGCAGCGCACGCCTTGCAATTGATGAAGGCCTCCTAGGAGTATCGGCGACAAGAAAACACATGCCGGTCAAATGAAACAAATCCGAAAGAAGAAAACTGAAATAGTCTAACTGCCTTTTCTTCTTCGAAAGTTAAACATTTATGGTAAAAACTTATCGCTGTATCAGACTGTTAAACTTACGGAGAAGATTGACCTGATCAATCCAATCGAAGAAGTGCACATTGGGGTAAGTTGAAGCAAATTTCTTTCGTTCTTCGTCGCTTATTGTTAATTTAACAATGAAATTATAGTCCGGAAAGCGAGAGAATGCCAGTAACACGTCGGTTTTCATTTGTTCTGGCATTTTAATCGTATCAACAAGTGATCCAAGTGAAAACACCACCACACCTTTACGTGCGTTTTCATATAAATTCATAAATCGCTGTAAATCTATTAACAGTCAGAATTTTTTGATGAATGAGGGACTAATTTATGGGACTTAGTAAACCAAAACATTGCTTCTTTAAACCACCGTACATTGTAGAGGGCAATATGTTTTTAAAAGTAAGATCAATAAAAACACAAACACATCTGAATATCAAAAGAGGGAAAATAAAATCGATCCAGTTGTCTGCTAGCCGTTTTCTTATTGTACCCTTCCCCATAAACCTCTTAAGGTAAAAGGATGTCTATGGTAGACATCTGACACGTTTGTTGTCAACGAAGGAAAAGCCATAGAATATGATAAATCACTCCGCGGTAAGAAGGGATGAACGGCCGGCTTTGCCAGCGGGCACTGTAAAAAGACAGAAAAGGAAAACAACAGGGCAAACTGTGTTCGTCTCGGTGACTTGGACGGTGACAGTAGATTCGCATCCTCGACAATTCGACCGTAGCGCGACTTTGGGGTAGATGATGTTCCCTCAGCAACAGCAAGTTTTTGGACCTAGTATAAGCGACCAAGAAGACTTCTGGGAAGCGGTTTCTGGCGCAACATGTAAAAGGTCGCTTGAACAAAACTTAAGACATTCGGGATTCAAGGTATCCAGACACATTACGCCACCTCTAAACACCCCCGCCTAAAAGTTACCTGGCAGCAGTGCGTTGGTTCCTGCTGCCAAAATCATTTTGTTCGATCAGTTGCATTTTTTAAATAAACTTTTGAGCTGTTGTGGTGCAAGATGTAACACCCAGCAACAGACACTTTCGTGAGGGGCGACCGCTTTTCTGGGCATTATGGTACCCTTTTTTTGAAAATCATGTTACTCGTTTGTCTTCCCGATACCCAGTTGGACAAAATTAACGTTTTCAGTTTACCTTTTCCAAAACTGTTACTTGCTTCTTAGCAATACCTCCAATGAAAACAATTTTACTGGAAATAGGTCGTGCGATGTCGATATTTGGTAAGGTATTAACAAATGCAACGGATGCTTGCTGCGCCAGATGTCTTAAATCCGGGAAATCCTCGCGCACCATACGCCTGAAGAGTGCGTTCTGAAAAAGTTTTATTTTAGCCTGGAATCACAACGTTGATTATCAATAACATGACATAGCTGTTATTTACATAAAGCCCATCAAGCTAATAGTATGATGACCAGGGTTGCTCGGACCTGGCCGGGACTGTAATCCTCCAGAGAGTTAGTGTGGAACTCTCGATGTTATCAAACACTTAGTGAAGGTGTTCTAGAATTTCTATCCTCTTGGCTGTTGTCTGTTTTCGGTCGCTTTTTGGACACTTGCTTCTTCCTTCCAAATATAGTTTAATAATTCATGTTTCATAGTCTGCGCTGTTTTTTTTTTACCCACTAAAAAACCAAATAATACACAAAAACCTAAACCTTTTGATTAAAAATCAAAAATTCTCCAACTTAAACTAATTTTTTAAAAAAAAGCTTTTGGGGAATGTATGGATGCGAGAAACAGATTTTGGTTGGTGTTAGTAGGCATTTAAACAAGTTGTTTAACCACCTGTTACGTTACATTTCTAATACTTGGCTTAGGTGCAGTTTACAGTCTCTGGTTTTGTAGCTACGCAAGTAATAACTTTCCCAGTTGTTTTGACCAATGCTGCTTCGTCTAATGGTCATCGTTGTTGAGAATTCTGCCGTTCATTTCATCTTCTGAAGGAACTACCAGTTTAGCGGTACTCACAACAGAAACTTTTGACTATTATGATATACTGAGGATAACAAGACCCCTAAGGTAATCGGTGTGGGTACCCGAAGTTACTAAGATGCTCTCATCCACACGCCGAGCGCTTCAGTGTAAAATCCCTTGATTCTGAGCTGCATAGTTCCAGACAATATCCATCACCTGTTCGGTGTACGCTCGCCACCTCGTAGGTTGGTCACTTTCTCGGGTGTAGCTCTTACTAATACGTGACGTCTATCAGCAAAGTAAACAAATTATGATAGTCATACGAAAATAATTAGAAGAAACGCTGAAAATTTACCTGTGAATTATACATTTTTGGAAAAAATTCATAGTGTGCGAAGATTTTGCAGATCAGACTGTAAATACGCTGAGAGAATGATAACTGCGGCGCGCTAGTAAATGAATTAAATACTGCTGCAATTTTAACTTATTTCATAATGTTTAATCGCCAACAGGCTGACCAGTAAGCTGGCAACAGAAGAAATTGCCTGCTAGCGGAAAAACCAGACTATGAGTCATAGTTTACCAAAGTACCATATTCATTAGTTCTCGGAGAAGGGATCGTTCAACAAATAAGAAAGTCGGCATAACTATTAGGAATCAATCCAGGTTTCTCGTTTAGCTATAAACAACGAAACCTGGTTTTACATTGATAAAATAGTGAAGTCTTCTTGTTTTTCATTCTGGTTAAAACCAAACCGCCCTCCTTATTCCTTTTTATAAGAGACAAGCTGTCGTGTCGAAACACTAAAAGTGATAGATAAAAATTTGTTCTAGAATATTTCATTTTGTTCTTCTGTGTGTATATAAAACATATGTAGAAGAGGATTACAAGGAGGGAGGAGTAAGGACCTTTGGAGTAGGAAACTAAAGAAGGGGCGCTGGGATACGGTGGTTATTAGGAGAAGACTGCGGCGTCGGAAGGTGGGTCGAGCGGGAGAAGAAGATTGCTTGCGAACGTCGGGAGCCGACAATTGCAATATTCTTTGGAGTGCTTGGGCTTTGGGGTTGATACGTTTATCATTG